GCCGGCCGGGCTGGGGGCTGCGGGTCGGGAGTGAGGGGCGCCGGCCGGGCCGGGGGGCTGCGGGACGGGAGTCAGGGGCCCCACTGACCCTGCCCCCCCCCCAGGAAGTACCACACCCACGTGCTGCAGTTCGACGGGGAGGGCGGCTGGAAGCTGGAGCGTCTGGACGCGGCCGCCCGGCTCTCGCTGACCGAGGAGAAGCAGCGGCTGGAGACGCAGCTGGCCGGGGTCCCCCGGGTTCAGCAGCGCCTGGCCGAGCTCTGCCAGATCCTGGGGGACGACGCCCCCCCGGCCCGGCCGGGCCCCCACAGCTCGGCCTGAAATGCTGGGGCAGCCCCCAGCCCGGCCAGCGCCTCCTGTCGCCCCAATACGGTGTGTGCGGGGGGCGTTAAGCCTCCCCTGGGAGTTGGGGTGACCCTGGCTGCCCCCCATCTCCCAGTGATTGAAGGATGGGGCCCCTCCCCCCCAGCTCCCCAGTTGCCCCCCATCACTGAGCATTTCAGGGGTCTTCTGCAGCACCCCACATTTTAGTGCACTTAATGCCTCTTCCCCCTGCGATAGGGGGCGGCCTGTACTGTGAAATGGGGGTTCTCACCCCCCCAGCACCTCAGTCCCTCACGGCGCCCCAGAGAATCCACTGCCCCAGTGGGGCCACTGCCAAGAGCCCCCCAGGCCTCTCTCCGGCTTCACCCTGGACCCCTCGACAGTGCGGGGTGCACAAGGGCAGTGGGACATGCTCATGGCCCCCCAGCATTTTCAGGGGGGAGCTTGTTGATCCCAGAGCCCCAGGACCCCCCGGCCGCACAGCCTGGAGAATGTAGCCACCGGGGGGGGGGGGGTGAGGAGGAACCGGGCGTCACTTCGATTCCCCTGCGTGTGGCAGACACAGGTCCACTGTGACTTAATCTGGTTTGAGAACCAGTTTAAATCGCTGTGTGGATGCTCTGAATTTGCTCTAAGAAGGAGTTAAACCGGTTTAAAGCCCCGTGTGGATGTGCTGAATTCACTCAAACAACTGGTCTGGTCAAACTGGTTTAAATCCCCATCTGGACGCTCTTAATTCAGTTTAACCTTAATTCAGGTTCTTAAACGGAGGTAAAGTGAAATCAGTTGAAATCCGCAGCTGGGTGCACACTGTGAATTTGGTTTAAGAACCAGATCAGTCCCCCCCCCCCCCGTGCCTTATGAGCCGACAGAGCCAGTAAAAGAAACCAAGAGAGACCCCCATGTCTGGCGTGACTCATTGGGCTGGGGGGCGCTATGGGGGCTGGCGGGGGGGCGCTATGGGGCGCTCTCCCCTGGCAGTTCGGGGCGGTGAGTGCTTGGGGGAGGGAACCCAGGCGTCCGGGGCTGTGAGTTTCCAGCCATGGCCAGCAGGGGGCGCGGGCGGCCCGGCGAGTCGGTCCCGGTGGGGCGGGGTGTGGGGCGGGCTGGCCGTGGTGCATTGTGGGGGGAGCCTGGTGCAGCCCCGAGTTCAGTTCTGCTCCGAGCCGGGACCGGCCGCGCCGCAGCCGGGTAGGGGGTGACCGGGGGGCGGGGCACGTGGGGAGCGGCTGCCCCCCAAGCCATCTCCTTAACGCACCCCGGGTTGCCGCCCCACCCAGTCCTGCCTCAGTTTCCCCCCGTCCCTCTGGCGGCGGCTCGCTTCTTAGGGCGCGAATCCGCCCCCTTTCATCTGGGGCGGGGGGTGGCTGGGAATTCCTTAGGGAGACCCCAAATCTCCCCCCTTCACTATCCAACGTCACCCCCAAAACTCTGCCTGCACCCCCACTTCCTCCCCCTAGAGCCAGTGAACCCCAATTCCCTCCACATGCGGCAGCGTGAGCTCCCCAGTATGGGGGGGTACAAATCAGACCCCCCGGGCAGCTTGGCTCCCTGCCGCACCCCCATCCTGGGGAGCCCCCCCTCCGCCCGCCCCCCTTGGGTGTCTCTCCCCACCTAGCCCGGCCCCGGCCCCGGCAGGGATCGGCCCCGAACCGGAGCCCCTGTGACCCCAGGCGCCCCCCCCCCGGTTAACTCGGGGCTGGATT